CTCTCTCTCTCTCTCTCGCTCTCTCTCTCTCTCTCTCACTCTCTCACTCACACACACACGTTTGTATGTGGACTTTCCATAGGCATAATGGTTTTTATACTGCAGAAAACTGTATTTTCTATCCCATAACCCTAAACCTACCCTTCGAACAAAACTCGCTGCATTTTTAGATGTTAAAAAACAAAACAAACAAAACCCAGTGTCCTCATAAACCATGTTCACATTGTAATACCTATGTCATTATACACATTTGTGTGCTCATTAACCATATTATTCACCTGTACACACAAACACAGGGAAATTAATGCTTTTATGCAGCAAGGACATATTAAATTGATTAAAAGTGATAGTGAAGACATATATAAAAATTCTGTTTCAAATAAATGTTGTTGTTTTTTTTCTATTAAAAATAATTCAGGGTTTCAAAATTGCTAATAAAAAAAAACCCAAATCAGCATATTTGAATGAATTTTGAAAGATTATGTGAGACTGGAGTAATGGCTGCTGAACATTAAGTTATGCCAACACACAAAGAAATTACATCTTAAAATATATGATAAAAATAGTAAAAAACTTAAAATTGTAATAATATTTTACAATATTAAATGTTTACTGCATTTTTTACTGTATCAAACAAATGGAGCTTCAGTGAGCAAACAAAAACAAAATCTTTTTTTTTCAAAAACATAAAATCTCACAGACCCCAAACTTTTGAAAGGTAGTGTATTTGAAATAAAAAAGATATAACATAATTTAATAGATTCATATGTTAAAAAATAAAAAAATACATATATACAGTGGGTACGGAAAGTATTCAGACCCCCTTCAATTTTTCACTCTTTGTTATATTGCAGCCATTTGCTAAAATCATTTAAGTTAATTTTTTTTCCTCATTAATGTACACACAGCACCCCATATTGACAGAAAAACACAGAATCGTTGACATTTTTGCAGATTTATTAAAAAAGAAAAACTGAAATATCACATGGTCCTAAGTATTCAGACCCTTTGCTCAGTATTTAGTAGA